CCAGGATCCGTCCGGCCAGGAGCTCTCCCCGGAATTCACAGCCATCGCCGCCGGCTTCTCCTCTCAGGCACTCGCATTCTCCTTCCCGGGAAGGGATCGACGTAGAGTCGCTCAAGAGCAATGGATCGGCGGCTTCTCCCGAGCGGCAGCGTAGCGATTTGAGGCTCGTGACGCTCAAGTCTCTGGGACGGGCCGTGGAAGCGGTGTGTGTTCTTGAGATCGTCGGCCAGGCAGCGGTTCTTGTGGATGGCCAGGTACTCCTCGTCGATTTTCTCTCGTTGGAATCACTGGGGAGCATTCCAGGCTGCAAGGGCGTGACTGCCATAGCTCACGCTATATCTTTCGATGAGACGAGAGTCCCACCATCGCCTCGGTTGGCGGATGGTGGTGATCGAGCTCATTTGGCAGTGGCTGTGAGGAGCAAAATCCTATTGTTCGAGGTCGTCTCGTGGCGGCAAGAGAAAGAGAACGTAGCATCACCGGGTGGTCTTCCAGTGACGAAGCTCTCTCTCATGCGAGAACTCTTTGGGATTGAAGGAGCTCACGCTCTTGCCTGGGTGAAGAACTCCATCTTCATTGGGACGAGCCGCGAGTACATACTCTTCACCTTGCGGGACTCCCGAGCTACGAGGCTGTTTTCGTTTCCGGTGGAGAGCCCCTGGAAGCCTCTGCTCAAGCCATTTCCAAAGGAGTCACTGGTTCTACTGGTGATGGATATTGCGGGGATCATGGTGAACGAAGAAGGTCTTCCCGTGGGAGGAAGTCTGGTGTTCTCGGAGATTCCAGACGCCGTTGGACAGAGCTCGCCGTATGCATTGGTCGTCAACAAGGGTGTTGTGGAGCTCTACCATTCTCAAACCGGCTCCAAGGTCCAGTCGCTGGCCTATGGCTCCGTTCCGGTTGAGCCACCTTGCCTTATAACGGATGATAACGATGGAATCATCGTCATCGCCAATGGTGACAAGGTATGTTAACTTGTGATGTCTCTGCTTCTCACTCATCTGGTATATAATCGGCAGGTCTCGTGTTTCACTCGAATTTCGGTGGATGACCAGCTGAAAGATCTTTTAAAGCAGAAGCAGTACTCGGAGGCTGTGAAGCTGGCGAATGAGGAAGAGGGTGCTAAGTCAAAGCTTGGCATGGTGCATGCTGAGGCCGGGTTCTTGCTTCTTGCCGACCTCCGTTTCGAAGAAGCCATTGATCACTTCTTGCGGTCGGACATTGTCGAGCCTACGGAATTATTTCCTTTCTTTCCGTCTCTTACTTCTCGCTGGCGGAATATGGTACTTGTTTCTGGTGAATCTCCGCTGTGGCTAACGTCGTGGCTTTCAGGTCCCTCGAAAGCGCTACTGGGGGCTTCACGCACCTCCTCAGCCAATACGTACAGTTATCGAAAGTGGTTTATATTCTCTACAAAATGGTCTGCTCACGTCGCCGATTAAGTCGAAGCAGTTCCAGGGCGGTAGCAGAAGTGGACAATTGATGACACAGTATCAATTGGAAGCTTTTCAGTGTTTCGGGAGGTATCTATGTTTTAAAAAGTTCTATCTTAGACGCATTAACATCTGTCTTCGAATTTGCTTCATCTAGATACTGGGAGACAACACGGAAAAGAGATTTAAGCTCGACATCAAGAGATGCCGTCGATACGGTCTTAGTGAAGCTTTATATCGAACTAGGGGCTACAAAGGAGCTTGAAGCGCTTGTTGCCGCCAGCAATCACTGCCTTTTGGTACGTGTACTCTATGCTCCCTTTTTGTTCAGAGTATGACTGACAAAGCAGGAGGAAGTGGAAAGCTTGCTAAGAACCTCTGGGCAATTTCGTGCTTTGGCATTTTTGTACGAAAGTAAGAACATGCTGGACTGTGCGCTCGAAACGTGGCATTATCTTGCTCAATCAGCCGAGCAGTCAGCCACACTGGAAACAGCTAGGCTGCTAGAGAGATGTTTTGATACTGACTTGGTACTCCGGCACGTACTTTGGGTTCGTATCAAGCTTCACTTTCGTCAGCCTGACTTCAACATATAGTACAGGTTATTCGATTGGACGAGAACATGGCATTCCGTATACTCACATCGCCTCAAAGGACTAAAGCACTTCCAGCAGGTTGGAAAACCAATTTTTTTCTGAGCTGTTACTTACTTGCTTTTGAAGATGATGTTCTACGAGTACTTGAAGCGGACAGCACCATGATTCGTCAAAGGTAAAGAAATTGTTTAGATTTTCTTGGTGGACTTCATATGAATATTACGCACCTGTCAGGTACCTACAATGGCTTATCGATGACCAGGGCTTTGACGATGCGCATATTCATACTGAACTGGCACTGTCTCTTTCTCACTCAGTACTTCAAGCTGACGAGGGACCGGATTCCAGAGCTGCTTTACAGTCGTTTCTTGAGAGTTCGAGTAAGTATGATGTTGGTGCTGTGCTCGACTTGATAAGAGGAACAAATCTCTGGAGGGAACAGGTAATAACACATTACATGGATCTTAACAGCAGGACTGACCCCTGAGGCCCCAGGCAATTTTGCATAGGAAACAGGGAAATGAGAAACTCGCACTGGAAATCCTGGCTTTGTAAGTCTTTGATTGCCGAGAGTTGATGGTAACCGTTTTTATTTGTTTCAGGAAACTCCAGGATAGCGATGCTGCAGAAAACTACTGTGCAGAGCTGGGCCGCCCCGACGCATACATGCAGTTACGTAATTCAGTCCCATGTTTTCCTTGGTGGCTTATCCTTGTCAATTCCTGCAGGCTGCTCCAGACTTATCTTGGAAACGAAGGAAATAACGTAAAACATGCTGTTCGGCTACTTGATCGGCATGGTCCCCAGCTCGACCCGATAGAAGTTTTGGATGTAAGGATGCCCATCTATTTTTCTTATCCATCCTTGTTCTAAAAACAATGCGTTCCAGGCTTTGCCACCTGACATGCCACTTCACTTGGCATCTCAGGCGCTCGTGAGAACGCTACGAGCTCGCATTCATCTCCATCGCCAGGGCCAGGTACGCGATCAATCGTGTTTCTCGTCTGGTTCTCATGGGCTCTGCTGCCATCACTCTAGATCGAAAAGCACTTGACTCGAGGCATCAACTTCCAGACCAGGATGAAAAAACTCGAGGAAAGATCTCGGGAGATTCAAGTCACTGGCGAGAGTGTCTGCAGCTCGTGCAACGCACGGATTGGAACAAAACTCTTCGCAGTTTTTCCAAATGAATCAATCGCTTGCTACAAGGTAAGCTCCACTTTCTTTCTAGTTCTAGGCGAGAAATCTCTTGATCTTCTCTTTCGCAGTGCTTGAGACTACACGAACAAAACACGCAGTAAATTTTGCCACTAGGTAGTAACTACACTAAAATTTTTGTCAATAATCTTACTGCCACGCGTCGCAATCGCAGCCAAGGATTTCTCAGAGAAATATCTTCGTTGCGCTAGGGTTTAGGGTTTACTACGGGCGGGAAGAATGCATCGCGTAGCGCTGCATCCGGGCGCTACGACGATCACCCCCGCATTTGGGGGGCTCAAATTCAATCGCAAGTGCTCGCTCATTCGGGCAGTCGGTAAGAATCCTTCTACTTCGTGTGATTTTGCATCGGCCTCGTTGTTTCCTTGCAGCTGGAAATGGTCCGTCGAGGGGCTTCTCTTCCGCTACGAGGAAGCAGCGAGAGGACACGAGGTATGGCGAAGAGGAGTATTGGAACAAACGCTACGCAGAGGAGGCGTTCATGACATTCGATTGGTATCAACGCTATGCTGATCTCCAACCAATTTTGAAGAAGCATATACCAAAATCTGCCCGGGTTTTGATGGCTGGGTGTGGCAATGCGGGTGAGCTCTCTTCTAAACCTTTGTTTTTCCTTGGTTTCTCAAGAACTTGTGTAGCTCGAGAACTAAAAAATCTCTCTTTTCGCAGTTATGTCCGAGGATATGGTGAGCGATGGCTATCAAAACATTGTCAACGTAGATTACTCGTCCGTCTTGATCAACGCCTTGCAGTTTAAGTACAAACACATGCCTCAACTTTCATGTACGATCACGCCTTCTTTGTTTTATATCTTCGGAGTTTCTTTTTCCTTTTCAGATAAAACCATGGACGTTCGGAACATGGCCGAATTCAAAGACAATACTTTCGATGCTGCAATTGACAAAGGTAAAAGAGACGCTTGTACTCTCTTCCTTGCACTATCTTGCAGAATATCACCGTGGCTTTTACAGGTCTGGTAGATGCGATGGTTGTAAGTATCTCGCAATCTTTTTCTTTACTCTCTGGATTCAGTATCTTTTGCTCAGTGTGCGACTAACGGTGCGGGAGACGTAACCCAGATGCTGCGAGAGATGTACAGGTACGCTTTTCCTCTCCATTATCTACTGACATGCCTTCACTCATCCGTTACCTCCAGGGTCATAAAACCGGGTGGCAATTTTGTCATGGTAAGGAAAACAAAGACCATATTTTTGCTGCCAGGAGCTAACCTTTCGGTTCCTCTCATCCATTCCAGGTTACGTATGGCTTCCCCCTCATCAGAGTGCCCGCTTTGATGGACCGGGGCATGAGTTGGATCACAAACTGCTGGATTCTGCGTAAGAAATCTACGTTTTGGTTATGGAATAACTCTCTCGCACCGTGTTCCAGCTAAACCGTACTCCGGGAGCGAGCTCTCCGAATACCCGAGCCCCATCCCCATGGAAGTCCCAAACTTTATCAACACAAAGCAAGAGCATTACGCGACTGGCACCAATTTTGTCTACGTTGCCACCAAGCGCTCATAGGCGAGCTAAGTGCGCACACATCTAGAGGTCGGTCGGCGCGGTACTCTGGTTTCTCTTTTATAGCTTTCTCTTCGTCGTCGTTCGTGGATCGTATCCTTCCCGCTGGAATCTCGTCAATCGTTCTAAAAGCAGCAAAGCACGCTCGAGGGACAAGGGAGGAGCTTTAGACTTTAGACCATGGAAAGCTTGATCGAGTACGAGCTTAATAGAATCACAAAGCTTTGGCAAGAATGAACCAATGGTTTTTATTACCAATAAGAATATATCGAAGCTATATCCTCTCACCACATGTAGGTTACGTGTGTGCACTCACACACATGCGCGCTGCATGTCCGGCAGTACAGCCATTAAATAATCTTCGCTGTCCCATCGTCTCCTCTCTCTCGATCTTTTGCTTGTTTTGTTTTCATCTCACTTGGCTTCCACCACCACCAAAAAAAATCTCCTTCTTTCGCTGGATTCTATCCATCCATACCTCCTGATCTTGGTTTCTCTCCAATCTCTGGATCCTGATAAACACTTAGAACTCCACCGCAAAAGCAAAACCACACCCGGAAAGTGGAAAGTGAGCGATAACCGAAGAACTGATTTCCCTGACCTCGCGCACTTAAGAGAAGGGGTTTGAAAGCGAAAGCGATTGACAACTGCATTGCACCCATTCCGCGCTCGTACGCTTCTGCGCATGCTGTCATCTTTCTGCTGCTACTGCTGCTGCTGCTGCTGCTGCTGCTGCTGTTCCTGCTGCTAGGAGTTGCAAACTTGAAAATCGTTGTTAAAACGAAGGCGGCCTGAAGAAAGGAATCCACCACGAGCCTGTGTAAGTAATAATATAAAGTATCTAAACAAACAAACCTGTATCGACGAGCGTTGCTTGGCTTGCTTGTTTTCGTCCCTGCGTCGCATTGAACTTGGCGTCGTCCCGGCTGATTGGCGGCCAATAATCGGTCATCAAAGCATTCCAGAGCGACCGATGATTTTCAACACTGATGATGAGCCTGATGGTGTAGTTAAGGTGGTCGAGCTCGCGGAATCGAGGACGAGCGGTGGTGACCACCGCCACCTCCGTCATCATCCTTGTTGAGCTCCACGATTTCATCATCACCGCCGATTCCATGGATAACTGCCGGAAACTGTTGCTGCGAGCCCGACTGATAGTAAGACGCTGGAGGATGAAACCTGCTACTGCTGCTGCTGGGTTCGCGCGGACCCGAAACGTTTCTATCTAGTAGACTACCAAAATGATGAGCCTGCTGCGGGGACGCTGGAAACGGCTCAGACTGCAGTGGTGACAAGCTCGTAAAAGAATGCTGCGGCCTCAGTAATCCTTGAAAGTATGACGATGGTGGTGGCTCTTCGAGAAGTGAGAAAGGCCGAAACTGAGGACTGGATGGCACGAACGGATCGGAGGGAAGCGGATTGGACGACAAAATTGGTGCTGCTGCTGCCGCTGATAGCTGAGGTGAGAAGTGACCAGGAGAAGTAACCGGGTTCGAAAAGAAGGACAAGTCAAGAGGAGTGGTGGCCAGAGGCAGCGACGCAAAGCCTGGAAAAGCGGGATGGAACTGCCTGCTTGGAACTTGCTCCAGGGACAGTAGCGCCTGTTGGAAGCCGAGCTGCCCGAGGAATTGGCCTTGGTAAGATTGAGAAGGCGGAGCCAAGTTCTGGAACGGGACGTGAGGATTCTGGAGCAAGCTGGTGAAGCTTTCAGGGACATTGAGCGCGCTGCTGTCGAACGGTATCATTGGAGCCGAATGTGGCATGCTGCTGGCGATGAACGACTGTGCCTCCGGAGAGTGCGAAGGGCTGGAAGGATCTCTACCTGTCGTTGTTGTTGTTTTCTCCTTCATCCGCTCCCTGGCCCTCTCCCTGGCCTTCACTCTCGACTCGAGCCTCGCCACGCCTCCTTTCCCACCATCTCCTCCTTCCTTGGCAGACGGGCTCTCAAGGAAAGGCTCCTGTAGCTTTTGCTCCTCTTGCCGTTCTGGCTCCCTGAAAGAAGACGAGCCTGGAGATAGTCCGATGGCTTGCGGATAGAACCGAGGGATGGCTGGTCCTGACTTCACGGACAATGCTGGAGAGAATGCTCCTCCGTGAGCGCCACCCGATGCCCTGTCCACGGCTGATGGAACCGGTGGAAGGTCGTCTATCGCTGCCTTGGCCTTCTTCAAAAGCCATTCCACTGCCTTGCTTGGCTGATCGTATCCCAGCCTATCTTGCACGTCGTAGAACTGAATCGCTGTCGCCACCGAGAGCCTCACTCTTCTATCCCGAAGCCCCTTGGAAGTCTGGACTTTGCTATGTCGATCTTTCCCACCTGACGGTCTAACGCTACCACGGGGCCTGTCTACCTCTACCTCTACGGAGTGAGCACTTCCGGGCTTGGGGGAGTCGACTACTACCTTGGCGCGAACTTTCCTCTCTCCGGTAACATTCTTCTTGAACGTATCACCCACACCTGCGCTCTCGGAGCTGAAATCCATGGCGGCTCCAGATCCCAAGGCTCCTCCACTCTCGGGCTTCCGGAACGAGCCATCATCAAAGCTTGTCGACTCGCTGTCGGTTCGTCCTCCTCCCTCAGCATCCGCTGCTCCCTCCCTATCCCTTTTCCTGCGATCCATGCCGCTTTTCTCCGTCCCCCTTTCGATGAATTTTCCATAGTCCAACGATTCGTGACGTTTCCCCTGGAGGAAATCTTTGGAATTTGGTGTCAGCTTCTGCCGACATGTGGAGCCAGCATTCCAGTGTGAGCATACTGGTGGTCGTGATTCAAACAACGAGAATTGTGACAGCCTCTTCGCCCATCGCTTGCAACCATTCTCGAGCTCACATTCCTTCAGGAGACTTTTAGCTGATCATCTGCAATGTAAAAACTATAAGACTCCAGAACTTGTGCTTAAGAAAAAAGCATCACTTTACCACCGAGATGGCAAACAGGGACGACCAGCAGCAGTGATCACAGCCGGAGAGGAATCATGAGCACCAATTTGCTTGCTTGTCAAGTCAGGCATAGCATACCGGTCCTAGCATGTCGGACTTGTGTGTTGTTAGAATATAAGTGGGCGTCGAGTACCGCAAAAGAGAAAAGCAAGTGAGGAGGAAAAAGAAACGAAGAAAAGAACAGCAAGAGAGACAGACCTTGTTGCACTTGCGAGAATCGGGAAAGCAGTGAGTAGCCAGACGAGCGATCTGTCACGACGATGTCTCTCGGTGAAGAAGAACACACTGTCCGATGAAAAACATGATCAGGCCAGTGTACTGCTGGTGCGATGAGAGCCATTTTGTCTGATAAGCGAAACAAATCCTCCCAGCTCCAGTCCCAATCCTCCCAGTCCCAGTCGTGTTCCACCCAGTAGCTCCATCCAAAAACGAAGTCCCATTAACTATGCCTGCCACTACTGCCCGCCCTGACCCCTTTGGACTCGAGTGAAAGGGATGCGCTAACCAGAGCGCTGCTCGCCAGAGCCACCAGAGAGTTGCGACAGCGAAATCTCTTTTCTCCCGCAATGAATTGGCTGATGGAGAGGCTTGCCGCCGCACAATAACGGAGCTGGAAAGGGCCAATCTAAATGCTGGCGGCGCCGCGGCAGCGAGAGGCTGTGGGAAGGAATCTTGGCCAAAACCAGGCGCTGCAGCGATCGCTTTTCGAAGCCGCGCTATGGAAATCCTGGAAATCTTGGCATACGCTCCGATCAGCCTTTCTGTCCCTGGAGAAACCGCGAGATCGGTTGATCGCGTGTGCGCTCAAGGATAGCACGAGAATGGCGAACTTACATCGCGTCCGTGGGGTGTGATTGGCGCAGTTATGGCGAAATCTCCAGAATGCTGGCTCGCCGTCGGCCAAGAACCCTAGGAGCAAGGAAGAAGAAAGCTTGCCATAAACCCCACGGGCGAGGCCTCACGCGTGAAGGGCGCCAGTTCAAACGCTGGCCTGGCCCTTCACGCGTGATGGGCGTACACGTGTCAGCAATCTGGACACTAATGCGCGAGGCACGAATCTAGCGTTATAGGAAACCTTGATTTTATAGGCTTTGACCATCAATGTACATGGTTTAGCAAGCGAAGTTTTTTTTTAATCATACAAACTCCATCGTGACGATTAAAAAATCTATAGAATCGTCAACTTGACACAATTTCGCCTGTGGGTATAATCAAAGGAAAGCTTTGTTTTAGCCTGGAAGTGAGTGATCAAAGACTTTGGATATAGCACGTAAACGGAGGCGTTGTTTTCATGGACAGTGTCTTCCAAGCCGCAACTCTGAGAAAGATGTGAAGCAAGAAGATCGATCGCTCACCTCGTGTGATCATGCCATAGAAACATCGTCGACGACCTGGAAAAACCATCCCTCTCTCGCCAAGAGCGACATGCCCACGCAAAGTGGTCCTTGTTTCTAGCGTGAGTGACCAGACTTTCCGGCTTAGAGGCTCTAACAGCGCGCATTTTTCCTGCGCAAGAGAGAAAAAACACTTCCGAGAGATTCGATGCACAAAACTAGAGGGAAAAAGGAAACGAAAGCACTGACTCACCGCGTGCGTGTGCTGAGGAGTTTGTCGCGAATCACGAATCTGGAACTTCCTTCCAGGCAAAATGAGATTAACAGCGTCACAGTTGCGTTGCGTGCCAAGTCAGGACGAAGAACGCGTACCCCTTTTCCTTGGACGGGCCATCCACACGAACGAATCCAAAACAAAAAAACGCAGATCTCAATGCTGCTGATGCCGATGCTGAGGCTCCTGCAACACTCACGTTCGCAAAGTATTAGCATAAAACTCGGCTTAGAAAGCAAAAAACAAAAGCAAACTCTAACTTACGTCTTCGGGGTGTCACAACCAAACTTTCTGCTGTAACTCCTCAGCTCTCCTGTAAAAGTAGGCCCATCGTCATAGCACAGGTTGGTGATGCTTCATCATCATCACAAGCGACCAAATTTTCCTCCATATCTTTCTCTTCGTTTTTTTTTCTTTTTTTCTCTGCTCGTTTTTCGGCTGCCACGGACGGGGCTGACCGAGTCGTCCGTGTCTCAAGCTCCGAAACACTGGTGGCATTGCAACCAACTTGACTCCATAGTGACACCCATGATGCAGCACCAACACCAGCCAGCAGCTTGAAAGAGATCGACTGACAACGTTGCTGCTGTAAGAGCTGCCTGGCTGCCACTGCTCTTCCCAAGTACCGGTTATAAAGAAAAAATTTCTCGCCCAATTGCTGTTCTTCTTTTCTTCCCGTCCTCTCACGTGACATCCACGGCTTTAAACCTTTTGTCCTCTTTCCCCCCTGATGCCTCCCACAAACTTACTGATCAAGAAAAAGCGGTGTATTTCCAGCTGATTGCGACGCATCAACTCCAAGCGGATTCACAGATCTTCCGAGGCGTCATCTGCGCTTGCAAAGGAAATATCCCGTCCCTGAAAGCTTGACTCGCTTCCTACGTGTCAGTGTCACAGTTGCTGTTGTTGCTGATGCCACCGTTTCGAGAAACAAAGGGGCGTCGGCAACACGATGGCAAATTAAAAGCTTCTTTCCATTGACTACAAAGCCTGAGGAAACAAGGGAAGAACTCCTGCATCAGTCCATCATTAACTCCCGATCGATGAGAAGAAGTTTAAACAACGGAGAACCTTTGCGTTTTTAACTCTCGCGCCGCTTGTCGGTTTTCTCTCCTCCGCTGGTGGCTTCGATGGAAGAAGATGATGGCTCCGTCGGCGCGGTAGCTTTATGGCCGGGGTTCGTGATCATGACGAAGTCAAGAAGCTGCGGCTCTTTCTCGGTCTTCAAGGTAGATGGCATTCCGGAAAGTTCCTGAACTAAAGAATGATAAACAAGAAACAGTGAAAGAATTAATTACCTTGAGAAGATGGATCCTAAGCTGGCTCGGAGAAACGCTTTCTCCAATACAAGTCATGACGAATGGAGAGTAATGCATCAAGGCGTGAGCTGCCGCCAATTTCTTCTCTTCTACCTGGAAATTCGCGTTGGAATTAGAAATGATCGCGCCCACATCGCCATATTCTCACCTCGTAGCTCTCCATACACACTAGCCCTAGAGGAAAGCAAAGGCTTCACCGACTTGATAGAATAAAATAAAACAGCTCACCCGCAAACTTTCACTTGGGAGCCTCTTGAATTGGTTTGATCCCCACGCTGCTGAGACGCAGCTGTTTTGACGTACGCCTGAAAGGTTCATGAAATGCATCATGGAGTCGCTTCACCTGCATAGCATTAAGAGAAAACGTTTCAATACGAATTTCCATTGAAACCTTCGTACCTTCCGCTCGCCGATACCAGGACAGCGTGCTAAATCTTCCATGGAAGCGCTCATCACTGATGCCATGCTCTAAAGCAAGAGAAGTAGAAATCGTAAGAACGAACTTTTACATCAAAGTAAAAGCACGGCAAGCAAGAGATTTCTGCTTACCCCAAATGTTGAACCGAGTGTAACAACATCCGTCTTATTGATATGCCTCACGCTCGTCAATGCACTCGTGAGCTGCCAAACGATTAGCATTTGTTTACGCAAAACCATCTCCAAGTAAGCTTACTCGGGACAAGTAGTCTTGGTCAGTCCTTTCTTGGATGTTATCGGCTGGCTTGTTTTCGTACATCTTTATAGTTTCCAGGTAGCGAGCGCATTCTTCCAAGCTGCAACGAACGTTACAACATACGATCAGAAAATACTACAGCAGTTTTGAAGCAAAGTACCTCCAAGCACAGAGCAGACTACAGTCATGGAGCAAAGCCGTCTTTGTCACTTCGTGCAATGGCTTAATGACATCCTCCTGAATAGTTCGAGAAGAAGAAAGCGTTATAGAGCCGAGCTATGAAAGAAAAATGTGGAGATATCACTTACCACATCCACATAGCACAACACGACTCGCAATCTAAAGTTTTTCTGCAGCTCGCGAATTCTAAAGTAGAGGTAATCCGGGTGAAGAAGATGGTAGCGGATGCTACACACAAAGGACGCAGAAGTTTAGAACATCTTTCCAAATGCTTGAGAAGTTTCGCTACCTGAGATACAAGGCACAGGAGCTCTGGCCAAGGACATAATCGGGAACAATGTCGTCAAACGTCCACCTCACATTGCGAATAAACTTGAGCACCGGATTTCCTTGCTGACAAAAAAAAAAGATGAATCACTCATTCTTTCGGAGCTTGGAGAAATCTCACTGACCTGACGCCGGCTCACAAGAATCGCATTTCGCGATTGCGAATTAGAAGCCCCGCTTGCTGCTCCTGCTGGCGCCGATCTGCGAAACAACGATCAATCGCAAAATCCTCGCAATGGTAGCTCCAATCCAAAACAAACCCTGAAGGAGGAGGCACTGGAGCGGAGTAGAACGCGCCTTGCCTCACGAAAGAGAATGCATCCCCAAAGGACTGTTGCCGTGGAGCTTCTCCCTCCATAGCCCAAAACCTCCAGCCCTAAATAAAAGCCCTAATTTCTACCGTACAAGGAGGGAAATGTACGGCAAATCTTTGTTTCAAAGCATTCTCGGCTATGGCGGATGGAGGGAGGAGGCGAAATCCCCCGGAGAGGTGATCCTCGAGGTAGGGATTAGCGCACCCTGGCACCATGCGACCGGCATTCCGGCCGCAGCAGGAGCAGATCATGATCGCGGCGGTGTCCAAGCGCCGGGGATTCTTCCTGCTGTGGATCGCCTTCTTCCTCTGCCTCTTCGTCTACCAGAGCAATTACATCGCCCAGGTGAGTGGATCCAAGAGAATCGCGAGAGCGGTGCCCAGGCTCCGGCCAGTGGTCTTCAATCTCACGGATTTTGGGGGGATTGGCGACGGCAGGACGATCAACACGCGCGCATTCGAGCGGGCTGTGGCTGAGATCTCGAGCGCGGCGGCCAAATCCGGGGGCGCGCAGCTCAATGTTCCTGCTGGCGTGTGGCTCACCGCTCCATTCAACCTCACGAGCCATATGACCTTGTTCCTCGAGGAAGATGCCACCATTCTCGCCACCCAGGTACTCTATCCATCGTCCTCCAAGCTTTCATCGTTCCAAGTGTTCTAGCTCATCGTTCTAAGCGTTTTCTAGCAAAGAACTTTCTAGATCTTCTCGTTCAAAAATCTTCTCTTTGGTTTTCCTCGTTCCATGCCCGATGCTTCGATCTTCCTCCATTCTTTCTTCCATTTCATACTCCTTTCTTTCTTTCGGCGTTCTAAGTGTTTCTAGCGAAGAACTTTCTAGTTTTTTCTCTTGATCTTCTCGTTCCAATTGAACTTCCTCCTCCTTCCATGCTCGATCCTCGATCTTTACGTGTGTTTGTGCGTCTTTCTCAAAGCTTTCTCGTAGTGTTTTTTTTGTTTCCATCTCCATACTTCCTTGTTCTAACTAAGAACTAACTGTGTATTATAACAGAGCGAGGACCTGTGGCCTCTCATGCAGCCTCTACCATCCTACGGCCGTGGACGAGAGCTTCCCGGCCCCCGCTATGGAAGCTTGATTCACGGCCAGCATCTCGAGGACATTGTCATCACAGGTTCGTCATTTTCCTCGCTTCTATAACTTCATCAATCTCCAGCAGTGTGACCATACAGGACACAATGGGACCATCGACGGGAATGGGAGGAAGTGGTGGGAGAAAGCCAAGCGCAAACAGTTGAAACACACGCGGGGACGTCTCATCCAGCTCATGTGGTCTCGTGGGATCGAGATCTCCGACGTGACTTTGAGGAACTCGCCCTTCTGGACTGTGCATCCTTACGACTGCGAGAATGTAACCATCAGAGGCGTCACGATAATTGCTCCACCCGATGCTCCAAACACCGACGGGATTGATCCTGGTAAGAAACAATGCAAGTTCGTGTGTAAGTAACTTCCTTTTCCAGATTCTTGTCGGAACGTTTTGATCGAGAGCTGCTACATAAGCGTCGGAGACGATGGTGTCGCTGTGAAGAGCGGATGGGATCAATACGGCATCGATTACGGCAAGCCTTGCGCAAACATCACCATCCGGAACATCCAAGTGAATGCTCCTGTGAGGTGGGAAGAACTTCTTTTGCTTTCGGTCTATTCTTCTTCGTTGATCGATCAAAGTTGACGTCCATATCCACAGTGCTGGAGTTTCCATAGGAAGCGAGATGTCCGGAGGAATCACCAACGTAACAGTGGAGAACGTTTTCATCTGGAACTCCAAGCGTGGAGTGAGGATCAAGACGACGCCAGGAAGGGGAGGCTATGTCACCCAAGTGTTCTACCGCAACATCACCATGGAAACCGTGAGAGTCGGCATCGTGATCAAGACCGACTATGGCGACCACCCGGACGAGTTCTACGATCCCACCGCGCTGCCGGTGGTGGAGAAGATCTTCTTCGACGGCATCTATGGCAGCGAGGTGAGAATTCCCGCGAGGATCTATGGCAGCAAAGAAGTTCCCGTCCGGGGGCTGGAGATCCGCGACATGAACGTCGGCGTGACGAGGAAGAAGAAGCACGTATTCCAGTGCTCGTTCCTCCAAGGCGAGGTGTTTGGGACGATCTTTCCAAAGCCTTGCGAGGATCTGGGGACGAGCACGAGGCCGGGAGTTTTCAGAGAGGCAAAGATTACTTCCGAGAGTGATGGTGACGACGATGCTTAGAAATCGAAGGAACCACTCACGGTATCTTGTTTGAGCAAGAAAAAAACGTAACTTTCCTCCAAAAAAGCTGACAGCTCGTTAGAAAACACTCGTAAGAGCTCTTGATTTCTAGATCTTTGATTTAAAATGAGAGTACTTACAGAGAAAAAAAAATGGTTACTGTTGATTGAACCTACAAAATAATTCACAAGATGGTTGATAAGCTTACTTAGAACTCGTTGACGAAAGTTAGAATCTCCGAAGCCTTGCAAGAGCACCTGGTAGAAAAAAAATTCCATTTTTTGTCAAAGTTCCTAGAAAGGCAGTAGCATTTACCTGGAGCGCCAGCGATAGTGTCAAGAACATCTCTCGCCACGGAGAAGGTACCACCGCTTTCCTTCCTCCTTTCACAGAAGAGATGGCACAGGGGCTCTCCAGCCACTTTCCAAGCAAACGTGAAGCTGGGCCTGCACTCTTTCTCGTTTTCGCTCCCTGCTCGCGCTCGATCTAAGCAAAACTGGACGTGGTCGTGGACAACGCTGTAGATGGCACAAGACTCTTGGTAGATCTGATAAATACTCTTCTTTGCTCCATCCAAGTTCGTGGATCCGGTATAAAGCATCTGAAAAAATCGTCCTTATGAGTGAAAACCAACGAGAAACTTAAAAAGCATCTGAAAAAATCGAGAAAAAACTTTTTTGTGTGATCAGCGAGAACCTTACCTGACAATACTGCGCAGCGATCTCGTCCGTCTTCTCGGCCGATTTCTCGTCCAAGGCCAGGCTCATTTCCAGACGATAGTTGTTAAAGTGCTGCCTCCACAAGTCTTTGTAGCTCAGGTAATTCCCGTAGACAAACTCCTCGTAGAACATCAGAGGTCCTGAAACAACAGAAAGCTTCCTCTCAAGAACAAAAGAAAAGCACGAGTTGTCCGTACCTGTGAATTCCTTGGCTTCGTTTTCAATTACCTCGGTCACTACATTATAGATCTTTCCAAATATCGAGGTTGATCTATACACATTGTCCTGTTGCTGGATCTTACGTCTATTCGGATTGTTGCTGTTCTCTTCGACTAGGAAATGCGGCTTGATCTTGTCGCACAATAGCCTATCCTCGATAGTAACCTGCGATGAAATGCTCAAACCAAAGCTTTCACTGCAACTAAGCTAACCATTTCTCCGGTTTTATCCGCGTCCAGAGCCAAGTAGTACAAATCAGCGAGCTCGAGAAGGCAATTCTGCCGAAACTCTCGTTCGCGTACATTGTCAAAGCTTGTGCTGAGATACTTGTCCATGTGAATCAGCCAGTTTGTGGCCGCTCGGGAGATTGCAAAGCTGCAAAACAATGAGAAAAATCAGTGACAGAAAAATGTAAAGATCGATCTTACTTTGGCTTGAATATAGCTCTGAGGAACATAGCCACTAAACGGCTCATTATAACTTCGGGGCTCATCCCCAAGCAACTCGGCACGGCCGTGGTTCCGTTTGTTCTTTTCTCTTGCCATGGCAATTGCGGCTTATAGAGGTTTGAGACCTGCTAAGACGAAGGTCATCAGGAACAGAGATGGTAGTGTTTACAAAAAGAAAACCAGAAAACACACCTGCTCGTTCGTGCAAATCCAGTACAAATCACCGTCCAGATCGCTGTTTGCAATCTCGTGCACGACGGAACGAGGCCCTTTCGTCGGGAAGATTATAACGTACTTGCTGTTTCCGAGGGAACTCTCCAGTTCCTGGTTCCAAGTTGCCTCGAATACGTGAACGTCGCCGGGGTGCATCCCCGGGTGTTTATAAACGAGAACCTTGTGCCTATGCAGAGGTCCATTTTCTCTTCGACAGAAAGAAACAAAAGGACAACGTGTAAGGAACAATTAAATGCCAGAGAGACACTTACAGGAGAATCGCGACTTGGTTTCTCGCAAGCGTGTTTGTGGGATCTGCAGATCCCATCAAGTAGTACGAGCCTTCGAGTGGAACATTGGCTTTTGCGTAGCGTTTGAGCTGCGTTCGTATCATCGTCATTAGACTGTTTCTTAGAAAGTGATCCGTCAGCGGGATCCCTGCGAGAATCATCCTTCTCGGCATATCTCCGAACGAGAATCTCGAACAAACTGCATCAAACACAAAATGACGTCACAGAGAAAGAGAAAGAAAAGAAGTTCGCCACTTTAGCTATAACTTACGCCTGTGAGCGGCAGCAATATCTTGCAGGGGAGTCATGGCCTTCGCAATCGCTTCTTGCACTACCTGGATGAAAAAACTTTCAGGAACACCCCCTTCCAGTAAGAGAGCTATCACGTAGCGTGACAAGCTTGCTACTGGTGGCTTGTGGCTATACAAAAACTCCGGCCATTAGAGGTTAACATATTTCTCTCGTAATCTCTATACCTTGTGGTGCAAATCTCCAAAGAATTGAAGCTTGGACAGTTTGCCAGTTTGGGATCAGCCTTAACCTTGAGCATTGAATCCCTGTACACGATTGTTTTATGCTGAAGCTGCAAAGAGAGAGATTATTGTAAGCACCGAAATTAGGAGAAACTCACTGTTTTTAAAGTTAGAAGCGTGCCTTTGACTGCTATCCCGTGATAGAAAAGACGTACTTGAAGCAGAGCAGGATACTCCTGTAGAAAACAATCAGCTCGATGAAAATGGAAAAAGAAGATCAACATCTGAAGCATTCACTGCAACTTGTTTCGCTAAATCCTCAGAAATGAATCCGGTTCCATCCGTATGGATCAAAGGCTTGCCGTTACAGCCCACTGCAATCTCTCCACCCGGATCATGCTGCAGCAAAGATAATCAATCTGTTAAAACACGCAGCACAACTTCGGACAAAGGCCGCAACTCTGCATGGAATGTCCTTGAAACAAACGACATTAATTTCGCTCATGTTTACGTTGGCTGTCCATGTTTTTGAGAGTGCCAGTTGCAGCCTAGAGCCAAGGAAAGAGGAAGTGCGTGAAAACCTGTTCAAGTAGAAACAATCATAGAAAACGAACCTCTTGTTGTAGAGCTGCAAGCATGGAACGGTGTGGATGTGCATGATATACTTCCGACAGGCATCCATCGAGCGGAACTTCAAGAAGTGCGGGTCAACCAGGTCGCTCGCAGCGATGGATTTTGTACACACGAAAAAGGATCGTTGCTGCCGCGTTTGCTTGACTTTGCTCATGTTTTTGCGTTTTTTTTCTTCCTTGTGCACTAAAAGAAAACAAACTGAGTTCGAGAAAGAAAAACTACAACAAGAGCAAAGATGATCAATCCATCTCGTACCAAAGTACTCGAAATGGCGAAGCCCAACGTTGAAGCCCCTCTCGATGATATCTCGATACATCTCTGGACTCGTAACTCCTTGGCAATTGAATCTCACCTGGAGAACTTTATCGTCTCCAAAAGCTCTCTGCAAGGGAGTCCTGCCATCCTCGTAATATGGCCTCTGCAAAAAGAGAGAGAAAAAAACATAAACTTTGATCGGTTACGCACGACAAGCCAGAGAAATAAATAGTCTACCTGGTAGGAAATCCTCCCATGCTCGTCGACATCACAGGTATACATCAGCGACTTTGGAACTCCAGAAGCGCTATTCTGGCAAGAACAAACAATGGCCTTTTGGAAACCAAGCAAGCAAAGCTCCTAGCCTACATTGAGCGGAAGTCGCTGCCTCGCATTCACCAGCGAGCATAAGTACGACTCGAAAGCTTCACACTTGACGTCCTTCATTTGTCTCAGCTCCTCCACACCGAGACGACCCTTTGCAAGGCACTGGATGAGATACCTCTTGTAGAAGTCAAGCTCCCCCAATGCTCTATCCTCGGGGCTCACTGGAAGAACAAAAAAAAGTTATCTTGAGACACACAAAGAAAGCTCCACACGATCAAAGCAAACCTGGCAACTGGGACATGACGGCGTCGTCTTGCTCGAGGAACTCCTCCACGTCGTCTTGAGACCATCCGTGGAAGAGTCTCTTCCTCGCCACAGGCTCTTCCTCCCTAGCATCGCCCATCATCGTGTACGGGCGCCTAAAACCCCCAATCCAACGTTCACATGCTCAAAAACTACAGCCCGACTAAATGCTCCCCCCGAGGAACCGGCGTCACACCGCGCGGCTCTGCGGTACCGCTAGCGGTATACCACACCATGTAATGCCATGTCAGCACCTACCATGAGCCCTAGATTAACCAGCGCGGCAGTCCACGCATTGGCCATCAGGACAAACGTGGCACCGTGCTCTACGCGTAATGGCCCGAGCTGGCTGCCACTGAGAACCGCGATCAGTGTGAAAGTTTGATCGCGTCGAAGCTAGCTAGATCCAATCGGCCGCAGCTTGCATACATGTGAATCAACGGGTTGAGCAGCATCTCCCTGTGAGAATGATCGCAAGCGCCGCAAGGAGAAGGATCCCAGCCACGCAATCTCGCAGTGGATCTCCTGCCCTAACCCAGCCCCTCTAAATATCCCACATTCCCGCCCAATTCGAACAGCATACTCCACGTAGGGCATTCCACGTCACTATGCTGACAAGAGATTGTCACACTCGAACTCTTGCCACTTTGTCTCAGCACAATGCCTCCACAAACTAGGCTGTTTGTCTGCATTATTTTAGGAACTCTGATCATGCGTGTTTTTTTTTTTTTTTTTTTTTTTTTGTGTACAGAAAAGTTACTTGGGTGCAAAAGCATTTGCCCAATCAGAGGAAATTGAAGAGAAGCATTCAATGATAGCGCTGAGTGAGATGGTGCTTTGAGGTCTCGTGTGGACAGCATTGATGTGTAGCTTTCCGTGTTCGTCATTTTGGCAAATTTTCGATCGGATGCAGAAAGAAGTTTATCTAATTTACGACCTTCAACATCATTTAATTATAATTTATATTAGATTAGATTTACATCATGATGCTGGTAGTGTCCAAATACAACACATTTCAACTTTTGATATATCAAGAAAATCAGTTCTAGTCTGAAGAGATTGACTATGAAGTCAAGTCGGTCCTGCCAAAACTTCGACAAGTCCCAAAAGCTAGTTGGAGACTTAACATTACGTTTCTCACCCAAACACAATAAAAAATGGTTTTGGTATAAATTATCAAATAGTAATATTATTTCTATTGTGGTTGCCGACATATCCAATCTTGAAGTCACAGAGTAAAATTATATTTAGTGTGTCCTAAAGTCCATAAGTAATAGCCAGTCAAGTTGACTTTGACTTCTTTTTACTTCTCATCTGGAGATCGTCTCTTGAATGGCTCTGAAGTGAACGATTTCCGGATAAGAGATTCAATTATACTAATGGTGCTTGTATCATTTGGTGCGTTACAACGAAAAAACTGAAAATAATAAACCAAACACTAATATATCAATGCTGCAAACACTAGAACATTTGCACAACAGATTATTGTCAATCCTTTTATTTGGAACATGACCAAGTCTAGCTTCAGATGTCCCCAACGTTGGGATTTCCAGAGTCCCTGCAATTCCCACAATAGTTCAGTGTGGCCTCGCAATTACCCCCATCGAATGCATGGCTTCCGCAGAGTCGGCAAGGCTGGTTTTCATACACATGGAGAAACTGCTGCTTGAGAACTGCCCCACTCACGGATGGATAGTTGCCATCGCACCTGAAAATTGCGGTGCAATGGCCAGAAACACGAGAAGTGAAGCCATTGTAGATTGTTCCATCGGTGTAGCGAGAGATTGCTCGCCGGCAATCGGCCTGGTTGACGCGAGATCCACAGAGTCCAGAGCCATTGCAGTTGTCGTTCTTGGCGCAGCTGGAGGACCCAAGAAAGATCACAAGAAGAATAGCAAGAAGAGAAAAGAGCTTGAGAGAAGACGCCATTGGAATTTGCTAGAAAGAATGCGATTTTCATCTGGCTTATAAAGGGGTATTAGTATTACATGACCTTTTAATTTTTAAAGCTCTTATTATTTTATTTTTCTAATCGAGAACTAAAACTCAAGTGGTTCTCACCGCGGAAAATATCAACAGGAAAACAACAAAACTATCGTCTAAATAATGCTTCGTGAATTTTCTAAGCTTTTCACGAGTAAACGTTGAGCTGTCTTTGCTTGGACTATTGATCACGATAAGAGTTACGTGATTCATCTAAAGAAGAAGTTTTGTTGTTTTCCTTGATATTTTGGATCCACAGTTCTCGAGATGTCATCCTTGTTAAGGCTAGAAGCCTCCAGAAACGCAACCGTAGTCTATTTTAGAAAACCTTGCTCCTCCAAAAGCAATTGTAAGTACTTTGTTTCCTGGTGCTTGGACTCTAATTCTCGCTTCTAAAACTATGTTCTATGTGCTTGATAGAGGTTTATTTTTCATCAGTTTCATGAGCCTTGAAACTTCAGCCATAAACGTCTGAGCCAACGAGTCTGCTATAATATGCTCTCTGCGGAACAAGTATGTGAGAAATATAGCTATGACCACTCCAAGCGTTCGCCATGTGTAATGCCATGTTAACACCTACCATGAACCCGTTCAGCCACCAGCAGTATACCGCGCGGCAGTCCACGCATTGGCCAGCAGCACAAACGTGCACGGCTCCGGCACCGGCAGTACCAGCTCTTGAACCGCCCGCTGACCACGTGCCACGTCACCGTGGCTGCTACACGCGCCCAAGAGAGACATCCACGTCATCGCGTCGCGCGGCATGGCGTGGGAGAGCTCCTCGGCCCCTTCGAGCTGGCCTGCCCGCCCAAGCGCGTCCACGATGCACACGTAATGGTCCGAGGTGGCTGCCACGTGGTAGTCCGGCGCCATGGACGCTGCCAAGCCCAGCGCTGCCGCGACCATTCCCCTGTGGCTTAGAGCCGCGAGAACCGCGATCAGTGTGATCGCATCCGGCATCAAGCCCTCGAGCTTCATGGCGGAGAAGAGATCCAGCGCCTGGGAATCCTGGCCGTGGCGCGCGAATGCCGTGATCATCGTGTTCCAGGACACCAGACCCCTGCGATCGATCGCGTCGAATCCTGCGCTAGCTAGATCCAATCGCCCGCATCTTGCATACATGTGAATCAACGCGTTGAGCAGCATCTCCCTGTGAGGACGATCGCAAGCGCCGGGATCCAAGAGCCCCAACCGCGCAATCTCGCCGTGAATCTCCAGCCCTAACCCCAGCCTCGCACTGCCCGCGCAAGCCTCCACAAGAACAAGCCAAGAAACCTCACCTAAATTTCCCACATTCCCGCCCAATTCAAACTCGCGGAAAAACACATCCAAAGCCACGTCAGCCTGGGAGCCCTCCACGTAAGCTGCCATGAGGGCATTCCAGGTCACCATGCCCTGCTTGGGCATCTTTGCCAGAATCTCCCTCGCTGCGGTTAGATGCCCCGTTTGGGCAAATCCAGTGACGAGCGCATTCCACGAGCTCATCTCTCTCTTGGGAGTTCGATCAAATGCCACCCTCGCGGCATCCATCGCGTTTTTGTCTGGATTTCTCGAGTAGCAGCTGAGCAGCGCGTTCCATGAGATTGTGGTGTGCTTGGGCATCCGATCGAAAATTTGCCTAAACGATGAAGAGCCACACATCAATGCCGTCCACGAGAACACATCGTGCTCACTCATTCGATCAAAGAGCTCTTTAGCATCGCGCGCCATGTCATTCTCACCAAAGATTGTGATCATCGAATTCCAGGACACCAGATCCCACTGTGGCATGACCTCGAATTTTTTCGTTGCCTCTTCAATTTCCCCTGATTTGGCAAATGCTAACACTATTGCGGCCCAAGTAATTACATTCCTTTGTGGCATTTTACTAAACAAAGAAAAAGCACGATAAAAATTTCTAGAATTAAGGCAAACAAACAACATAGCGTTCGTGGAGACAACGTTGTGCTGAGGCATTAAATCAAAGCATTGTTCTGATATATTTATTTGCCCATTTTCGGCATTTGCGACCGTTAGAGTGATCCAAGAGCTTGAGTCTCGCTGTGGCATTCTCTCAAACAGAGAAACCAAAAGCCCAAGATCTTTTCTACTACAGTAATGGATCATGGAGTTCCAGGAGACGATATCGAATTGGGGCATTTTCGAGAATAGCTCCATCGCTCGATCGCAGCCCTCTTCTTGCGAGATCGATGTCAGTGCGGTTGTCCAGGAGATTAGATCCCTTTGCGGCATCGCCCAAAAGATCTCTGTCGCGGATTCAGCGCAACCACTGCTGGAGATCATCAGGTTCCACGAAGAAATGTCCCAGCAGGGCATTCTCCAGAAGAATTCCTCCATGCTTTCCCTGTTTGCGTGTGCCTTGAGGATCAGGTTCCAAGACACGTCGTTCCTGCGGGAAGATCGCTGGAAGAAATCGATAGAACTTTGAAGACCAAATCGACTCACGATGCCGCCGAGCACCGAATTCCAGGCGATCACATCCTGCTCTGGCAGCCTCTCAAACATTTCCATTGCTTCCTCGAATCGCTCCTCCGAGAGGCCCTGAATCATCGAATTCCAGGTCGATGCGTTGTGCTGTGGAGCGGCGTCAAAGATCTCTCGCGCTTTGGTCATCTCCCCACGCCTCAAATACGCCACAAGGATTGCGTTCCAGGAGAAAAGGCTGCGCTCCAGCATCCGATCGAAGAGATCCTTGGCCTCGTCGACACGAAGGGTGCTGCCAAGTGCCGCGATCATTGTCGTCCAGGCCAGGGAGAAGGAGGAAGAGTCCCCGGGAATCGCCAAGAACAACTCGATGGCGCTCTCCAGATGCCCGTTTTGCGAGAGCCACAAAACCATCGAATTCCAGCTTATTCCATCCCGCGCTGGGATCTTCTGAAACATCTGATTTGCGCGGTCGAATCTGCCGCAGTCAAGACACCCCTGGATCATCGCATTCCAAGAAACAAGACATCGATTGGGCATCCAATCGAACAAAGCTTCGGCATTTTGCAAATCCCCGGCCGCGGCATACGCTAACATCATCGTTGTCAACGTGATGGGATTCCACTGCGGCATTTTTGAAAACAACGATGTTGTCTCGTGGAACTTCTTGTTGCCTGCGCAGCTTGCCATGATTGAGTTCCATGAAACGGCATTTCGATTTGGCATCCGATAGAAGCAGAGCACGGCCTCTTCCGAATGCCCGG